TATAAATTATATAATTAATTATTTCAGCCCAAAGCTAACTCATGCATAACGTTTAATCTTTGATTAACCATTTTAAAATCATATTTTGCATAATCTATAATATTAAATTTATTAATTTATAGAGTTCACCCTAGCATATTCATTGTTGTCTAAAGCTGTAAGTCTAGATCAACTGATTTTATATAATGTGATAATTCAGTTATATATGATCGGTAAAATGATCAACATATGATATAAGCATGTTCACTATACTAGGCTAACCAAAATATTTGACAGCTTATTTTAACACCAGAAAGTAAAGTTGTGGGTAGAACCAGAATCATAAAGTTGAAATATTTTAGCTTTTAAGAACTTAAATCTGAAACTTTCTGATCATCTAAAACTAAAACAAAATTGGCGAAACTGAACAATATTAGTGATACCTTCTGAAATTAGTTAAACAATCAAAATAAATGCTGATTTAAACCTTTAAAACTAATCTGTGCTAATAATTAATAAATTAATATAATAAATTTATTTATTAATACATTTAATACATTATTAATAAATTAGGCATATTAATATTCTATTTAAACATAATATATAATTAGCATATAATTTATTATTTATTAATTCAATATATTTAAATAAAAAGCAATTAAAATGAAAAAAATCATATTTTGTACTTTGTGAAAATCAAATATAGTTAGTTAATATCTGATTATCAAAAAACAGCAACCAAAATTAGAAATTGGATCCTCACATTTTTTAGATACATTGATATCACATTAAAAAAATAAATATTTTTTTATCGTAACATTAATTTTTTATTATTATACTTTTCATGATTTCAATTTATTTTTATAATTTAAAAATCAAAAATAAATCTAATGCTATTATTAATTATTAATTAAAGTAATTATTTTATATTTTCAAAGAAATTACAAAATTAAGAAAATAAAATTAATATTTTAATTTTCATTAAAATTAGATCAGCTTCTCCTTCAGGATTCCAATCTTCTTCAATATTATTATTATCTTGAATGCTAATTGTTTTATTATTAATACTATCAGAAATATCAAAAGTATCAACAATTATATCTTCTAAATCTTTTGTAAAATCATCAGCATAAAGATTTAATAATTCTTCAATATTAAGTATTTCTTCTTCTAGAATTGGAAAAATATTTTATTCTTCTTCATTAATAAATTCTTCTTCCAAGTTTCGTAATTATAAAGATTTGCATTATATAATATTTCATTTAAATTCTTAATGATCTTATTAACAGAAAAATAGGGTAATTCATTTTTTGAGTTTGCAAGATAAAAAGCAGAAAGTTTTTGCATATTTTCAATTTTGCCTAATGAAAGTCATGTACGATGTTTATCATAATACCATTCTAATATTGACCAAATCCTTTTACAACCAGCTGCATGTGATGTTATTGCAAATAAATTATTAGCTAATTGATAAATATAATCTTCATTTTTTGGAAAGCTATCTTCAATAGAAAACCACTAGGTAGAAGGAAATTCATTATCATTAAAAAATATATCAAAGATGCAATACAATGTTGATAATTTCTCATTTAAGCTATTAATACTTTTCTTTCCTTAAGTGTTTTATTCATTTTTTCATAATATTCATCTGCTGCAAGAAGAATTTGTTGAAATGTCCCTATTTTTTAAACTAAATCTATAAATAAAGTGATAAATATTTAATTATAATATAATATTTAATATTTAATAAAAATATATATTATTTATTTTATCTTTATATCCAAAATGTAAAAAAAGCATAAAATATAAGCATTATCATCAAAATCAGCAAATCGTTTATTAAAAATAGCAATTGATTGTTGACGTAAAGTACAATGATCATTTTTAGAAAGATTTTTTATAGCTGCTCCTAAACGAGCTAAACCAATAGAACAATCTACTAATAAACAATCTTGTGATTCAAGAGTAGCAGAGTTCGTATCTTTTATCTGTAAAAAACAGATATCGAACAGATATTCAAATATTCAGATTGGACAGATACAAAATTTTGGATATCCGAATAATCCAACAGATATCCAGAAAATATCTGAATATCTGTATTATCTAAAGAATATCCAAATATATCTGGATATAATTTGTGATCAGCTTGCACAAACTTTTATTATAAATTGCCGATTTAATAAAAAAAACTGAATTTTTTATACCAAAATAAAAAGTATTCGTAAAACAAAAATGCTATAAAGTAATTTTAAAGCATATAGCCTAATGAACACGATAAGTTTATTTTAACTTGTAACAATTGGTAATTTTTTCACACAAAAAAAAAAATAATACAAACAAATAATATGAGTAGGCACAAATCACGAGAGCTACGCAGTAACAAAAAAAATAAAGAGATCTCTAAAACAAAAGAAGCAACAATAACAAAAAAAGCAATAAAAACAAAAAAAAAAAGTTAAAAAAACAAGAAAATCAAAAACTGAAACGGAACTTGTATCACAAGATTTATCACAAGCTTTACAAAATTTAACTTTAGGTAATTCAAATTTAATTGATATTGAGCAAAGTATATTGGGAGAAAATGATATAAACGAACTACCAGTTCTTGTTGATAGCATAGAACAAGATCATAGTTTGGGAATTTATTCTAATAATAAGCAAAGTTTTATTTGAAAATATCTAGAAAAGTTACCACTTACAGAAAAGTATAAGAAGCATGTTAAATGTCTTGTCAAAATTTCTGGTCAATCTTGTTGACACATAATGGGATCTGATAATAGTACTGGAAACTTTATTTTTCATTTAGCAAAGCATCGTATTACACATGAGGCTGATATGTCACAGAATAATGAAAATGTTAAAGAATCTCAAAGTAATTCTGCTATAAAAAATCGATTAGACAAGAAGTTTGTTGGAATTATTATAAAAGATAATCAACCATTAAGCATTAGAAATGATGAAGGTTTTCGCAAATTTGTGAAAGAAATGGATCCATTTTACGAATTACCAAGTGATAAAAAAGTGCGAGAACTGCTAGTTAATAGTTATAATTATTGTAAAAAAGAAATTATTCATCTATTTGAACAAGGTATTACATCATACTCTTTAACTTTAGACCTTTAGAAATCAAGAAGTAGAGCTGGTTACTTAGGCGTAACTTGTTCATTTGTAAATATTCAATTTGAACTTTGTGAAGCTACTTTGGCAATTGA